GATTTGAAATCATTAGTTCGAAAGGAGGTATTTATATGAAGGTTAAGCCAATTCTACGTACTAAAATTCAAGACTGAAAGTTGTGCAAATGAGTGGAGACACTGAGAAGCCAGTGAGAGTGCTCTCTAAGAACTCAAAACATTCGAGAGTTTGGAAAAATATTGGAAATTGTCGATTTGGCAGAGGGGCATGTGATTTGAAATCATTAGTTCGAAAGGAGGTAATTATCAGTGATGGTTTTTTCCTATCTGAATAGCGCTAGCTATCCGCAGCGCCTGTACAGCATTGCTGCCCAGATGCTGAATCGATGCGTTCGCCGCACGCGGCACTCCGCACGCGTAGCACACTTCGTTTGCACATACACTGCATATACGTTCGCGATCTCTATCGAACACACATACAAATGTGTATTAGTGTATCAGCCTATAATATAGGCCCTATATGAACGAACCAATGAGTCCATGTTGATATGTTTAACCTATACGTTTGCTGACCGCGATACTGTGGAAATAATCACACACTAATGCATAACGAAAATATGTTCGGTTATTCAATAAAGGCAAGCGTATGTATATTTGTGTGTGTTTTTTGACTCTCTGTTCTGTGACAGAACTTCTGTCTGATGATTGCTGTGCCTGAGTGTGTTTATTTTTCCATTGTCCCGTTTGTTAGTGCATCTCAAAGAATTTAATTTACAAAGAAAATAACGAAAAAAATTCGGTCATTGGACATATAAATTGCAAAACTGATTTGAATTGCTATCGATTCTATAACACGATTAGAGAGAGTTTATTTTTGTGGATTTGAGTGTGTTGTATGTGTGTGTGTGTGAGATAGAGATTTATGAAACAAACACATGAAATGACTAATTGTAGCAATTAGAATTATATAAATGCAAATAATTTAAAAACAAAATAAAGATTGAAAGTCCCACATGAAAATCTTTCTCTTCATGAACATGACTTTTACATAACTTTTCTATTTAAATGCTTCAACAAAACGTTCCGATCAGTCGATATAAATTTGTCATGGATTTTTTTTTCATTTGGCACACAGTTCTGTTTATTATTATTCAGTTTTACAAAACAGAATTTCTTATAATTTTTAAATACGTTTAAACAAAATTTAACACAATGAATGCGAATCAAAGAATATGTTTTATTGAAAAAGAAATATGTCACTAATGAGTGAAGAATTGAATAAACTTATAAAAACGATAAGAGTAAGTTTTAATAGTCGAATCCGTTCAATTTCAATCCGACCCGAAGTCTTTTTTTCCATTCAATCAAACTTGTTGGCACTAATTTCAGATGCGCAATCATTGAATAGATCTTCGAACGTTTTAAAGCGATTCGGGTCCCCATTTATACGCACGACGAAGAGATCTTTTGAAAGAATAAAGAACAATTGTTAAATATACGCAAACAAATTAACTGTACCAATTTTTACCTTTGACGAATTTGATGCAAAGATTATTGATTTGATTTTCTTTAACATTTTGAACTCCAATGCATGACACCATTGCTACTTTAATAAATCGTTTGTCGTAAGTGATCGCGTTTCGAAGATTTCCCGAATTCCAGTAAGTCAAACCGTCCACAACACGTTTGGTTAATGTGATACCTTTCCAGGTGTTTCCTTCTGACACCATATAAAAGCGATCATCGTCATCCTTTAGATAAATGAAGAAACTGGACATTGAATCAAAGAGTAAATGACTCAAATGATTTTTACTTACACCTTTTGCGTATGCCATAGTTCCAGACACAATATCATCATTTTTAAGTTCAAAATTAAGTTGAGAGCGTTCACAAACCGGCATCGGTATTTCATCATACTTGCATATCATGACGTCATCATCGGAATCAGTACACTGCTCAAAACTTTGATGGAACACATTTTCGACGGCTTCCGAATCAATATTATTCAACTGCAGGAACGGTGATTCTTCTTTAATAGTTATACCGAAAACTTGCCCATTCACATTGTTTGAGTGGTTGCTTTTGTTCGTCACAGCCGCAGATTGATATTCTTCCATCAAACTATTTGAATTCGTTGCGATTCCAAGATGATCAAATGAATTCGACAGTTCTGTCGTTGTTGATTCCGAATGATGCGGATCATTTATGCATGTTGGATTGCTTTGACTCAAAGTATTGGTTGAAACGTCGTCACTTTCAGTTACATTTGCAATTCCCAATGGAGGTTCAACGTTGGAAACGTTTGTATTTTCATTCAAAATATTTATGATGCCAATTGTAGTTTCACGAACTATGTTATCCTCGACAAATGATTGAGCCGTGTTACTTGAAACCGAATTGACCGATGTATCTAGTGGATCGATTTCATGTAAACCACTCGAAATGGAGCTGTTTGAAACGTTCTGTTGATTAGAAACAATCATAAGCTCAGGGATGGGAGTTTCATGAATTCTGGCTTGATTGTAGACCGCCGGAATTATTTTACGTTTTCGGTTACGAAACTCTCGTGCATCCCCAATGTCATCTATAAAAAAATAATTGAATTCTGAACAGAATGATTTCGATTTTGCGATTGTTTTGATGGAAAACTTACTGGTGAAATACAACGTGCGTCCCTTATACCAAGCATCACCATTTGGTGGAAATACGTTTGAACATTCAGCATTGAGATTCGGCACTGGATAGTGTTGGCCTTCAAGACATTCAGACGACCAAAAAACCAAAAAATCTTGATTGGTGTTTGTACCGTAATTTTTTAACTTTTTTATGTTTAAATCATAAACATAATCCTCTGGCACAATTATATGCTCGTGCACTTCTTTTTAAAAAACCACGACCAAATCCATGTTGAATTTTCTTGGGAATTTCGATAGGTAACTTTATTAAACTTGATGATTTTGTTGGGATAATTTTTAAATGAAAATTCATGAACTGCAAGCGAACTGAAACGACCAAACTGAACAAGTTCTAACACGCCTCTGTAAATGTGCACCGATTTTTCGCGCGAACAAGTATCTTTAAGTGTCATTTGTGTTCATTTGATTTTCGTACAAACACAAATACAAACGCACACATACACATCCTTACGGACTTATTGTTTTAACTCATATACATTTACCCTTAGCAGCGGTTGGTCAGTTCAAAATCACTTGAATCGCAATGCACACTCGATTAGTATTCAATACAATGAATAGTCAATACAAAAAAACCCGAAAATCAACAGTTGGTCAAAAGGTGATACATTTATTTGGCCCACCAGAAGACAAAAAAGATGAAAAGGGTACAACTAAAACATTATATCAGTGTCATATTTGTAGCAAAAAAATAAACGGAACGAAAGATTGCAATTTAGTGTCACATATTCGAAGTGTACACCCGGAAAACTATGTCGAAATCGTTGAAAAATTCAAAGATCCGTTAGAAGTAAAAAGATTGAAAATACTGCAAAATGCCGTTGAACTTGTAACTGTAAATGGCAGGCCATTTTCAGCCATACAAGATTCCGGCTATATAGCCAACATTGAAAATAAACTAAATAAGTTGAAGGCAAATGGTCTGGACTTAGATTTGTCACATAATAAATTGTATGAAGTCAAAAATCATTTGAAATTAACAGCCGACAACGCACGCAATAAAGTTCGCGAGGAAGTTCAAGACAAATTAGTTTCTTCCACAATTGACATTACAACTTTAAACAGTCGTTCCTTCTTAGATATCAGTGTTCGTTTCATTGCAAATGGGAAATTGATAATTCGTTCAATATCAATGATTGAGTTGCACGAATCACATACGGGAATTTATCTCGCGAATATTTTTGCAAATGAGATGGAGAGTTATGGAATTAGTTTGCGCTCAGTTGTGGCGATTAGCAGAGATCATGGTTCAAATGTGATAAAAATGGTGCGTGACTTGAATTGCTTAGCAGACCGAAAACAAGTAGAAAATCGCACAATAGATAGTATTGATATGGAAACAGTTGCAAACAGTAACGAAGAACTTGATGTGGATGGAAAAATCAGTGAATTACTAGCAGAAAATATTACGGATGATGAGGCGCTTGATATGTTATTCCAAGAGAATGAGACAAATATGGCATTAAACTCTTATAATAATATTTTAAATGATGTTTCGCAGCATTTATTGACCCATGGCGTCGAGTCTAACGTAAATATCGCTGGTATCGATTGCGTCGCACACAAAGTACAATTAATTACCAAAGATGGACTCAAAATGATGTGGGAATGTGACCGAAATGTGATCGATTTGGCAAGGTGTGTAAGCAAAGAATTGAGATTACAATCGGTTCGAGATGAAATGTTTCATTTGAATTTGCAATATACATTACCTCGACTTGAAGTAAAAACGAGATGGTGCTCTACGTTTTTGATGGTAAGTGTTGTTTTAAGCAAGTGGATATTTGCATGTTACATTTTAATTTTTTTGAATAATTTTTCAAGGTCTCTGACGTCTTAAGCTGTAAGCATGTCATTGAGTTCTACAGAAAAAAGTATGTTAACGCAACAACAATGAGTTTGAAGAAGAAACTCCTAATTTTCAACCTTTTAATTGAAAAATGGTCAGTTTTACAAGAATCTGCTTACATATTGGGTATCATGTATAAAACAACTGTTGAATTGCAAGCACGTGGCCTTACACTCTCAGATGTGTACGGTATTTGGTTTCGGATGAAATTGCATTTGCAATTTTGTGAAAAGAAAAACAAATATAAAACAAAACTTGCAAAAATTCTACTAACTTGCATGGAAAAACGTAAAAATGAAATTTTCGAACATCCATTGATGTTATCAGCGTTATTTTTGGACCCAAGATATAGAAACCAGGTCATGAATGATGAAAATAAATTCGAAGAAGCTGTCGAAACTCTTTGTGATACATTCAATCGCATAAATCATATCAATTCACACAATCAAAATGATAACATTGTTAATACAAGCAACACGTCCACAGCAAGTGAAGAATTCGATATAAATGTAGCAATGCGTAGTTTCATGATAGAAAATTCAGAATCAAATTCATCGGATCACACCACTTCCAGAGCCATCGAAAGCTTAGACATTGAGCACAAAATTCGTGCATTTCAACCAGATACATTGGATCACTCGAAGTCAGTTGTGGAGTATTGGGAGAAATTTAAAACTAAACATCCGGAGCTATATCAATTGGCCAGTGTAATTTTTGCCGTATCACCGACGGAAGTTGAAAACGAACGGAATTTTTCTTCGCTAAAACATGTTTTTAGTGATCGACGATGCAATCTAGCTGAAGAGCGTTTAAAAGACATAATGTTTCTGCATATGAATTCAGATTTGTTTTATGCGGTGAAAGAGGATCAAATTAGCGATTTGGTGGCTAAACTTGATATAAAAGGTAAAAATACATTATGCTGTTTACAATTTATTTTAGATTTTAATATTTTTTCTTCTTTTCTCCACAGCTATGGCTCGAGATAATAAATTGCATAGCTGATAACCAAGCCAACAAATTCAATTGATTGAATGGAAAAAGAAATCCCGAGCTGATCCTTATCATTTTTATCAATTCATTATTGATTAGTGACAATTTCTTTTTCAATAAAATATATTTTTTGATTCGCATAAATTTTGTTAATTTTTGTTTGTTTATTGACTACCAGAATATTATATCGTTAGCTTATTTCTTGACATGCAGCCTCAGCGTATTTAAAAATAAAAAAAAAATCTCGTTTGTAAAACGGAGTTACAAAAAACAATATTGTTTAGTGCGCCACATAAAAAATCCATGTAGCATTTACACAGAACCATCATAACGTATGAAAAAAAAACGTAAGCATTAAAGAGTTCGAAAAAAATATATTTGAGCTTACGAAGAGATTTTCATTCATTATTTTAGTCTTCAAAAGAGAGAAAAAATTTCTATGGGATACGAAGTTCAAATTGTATGTTGCTGTTGATCGCATAAGACTTTTTTTTAAAACGTTTTCATTTTAACGGATTTTTCGGACCAGCGCTACGTTCAAGTTTCGGTACAATTCAATCAATTCACAAATAGTCATCATACAATGTTTCACACACAAATATACAATCGGTTTGCGTTATGCATTAGTGTGTAATTATTTCCACAGTAGCGCGGTCAGCGAACGTATAAGTTATACATATCATGGACTCGTTCGTTCATATAGGCTGATACACTAATACACATTTGTATGTGTGTTCGATAGAGATCGCGAACGTATATGCAGTGTATGTGCAAACGAAGTGTGCTACGCGTGCGGAGTGCCGCGTGCGGCGAACGCATCGATTCAGCATCTGGGCAGCAATGCTGTACAGGCGCTGCGGATAGCTAGCGCTATTCAGATAGGAAAAAACCATCACTGGTAATTATATGAAGGTTACGCCAATTCTAGGTACTAAAAGTCAAGATTGAAAGTTGTGCAAATGAGTGGAGACACTGAGAAGCCAGTGAGAGTGCTCTCTAAGAACTCAAAACATTCGAGAGTTTGAAAAAA